CACCTCCCTATCCCCGCATCTTTCGAGGCCTGCTTGCGCGGCAAGTAAATAGCTGATTGATTAAAATGACCGTCGATTTGCTACCGAATCCATGCTGTGCCTCCGCCCGTTCTCTCAGCTCGAAACTGTGTATACGCTCAGCCGCTAACAGGGAAACTGCATTTCCGCGCAGCCGGCGGTCGAAACGATGAAAACTTTATTACTCACTACGGACGACGATAAAACGGATCTGGCTGCGGCCTGCAGCACACCGTTCTGCGAAAGATCCGGCAGATTTTCGGATCGCGGCGAATCGATGGAAAGTGGATACCCGACGCCGCGCGCGGGATATCTAATATTTGGATATCGTGTAGACTTTTGTCGATGCAACCGAATGAAGTGGTTGGAAAAGTAAGTGCGGATTATCAATGGTCCCCCTGGATTCTCTTCTTTCCGTTCCCACGAAAGATTCAGGTTGTTCCAGCGTAAATTTCCACGCTTTAATTAATCGAGTTGCTCAATTGAGGAGTGTCTTCGACAGATTTTTTTTTATTCACAAATAATATGTACATCTCGTAAATTCCGTTTTGAAGCAACTGCGATTTTTGCGATCGCAGTAAGTTAAAAGAAAAGATTTGGGTCTCCTAATAGCGAACAATATTTATTACATAAAACTTAAATTATGTTTCCTCGAAGGAAAAGCTGATTAAAAATGTACGCGGTTTCTAGAACGCTTCATATCTTTTTCGATCCCTTCCGACAGCTGCCATTATGTATGCATGAGAATATATTGGGATACATAAAATGTAAAATATTTTAATAAGGAGTATCCTGGCATGAAACAGGTATATAAAATGTATAAAAAAGTTAATGAGGAGGAAACATTGCGTAATATCCGTCAAAAGAGACATTTTCAACATCGCGAATCGAGATGTGTTTGTTGTTAAAGATGCGAATTTATGCTCAGAACAACGTTTCAGTGTTTTCCCGATCTGTCCGTTCCATTTTATGAAATGGGAAGTGAATTCTCTATTTTTGTTATATATCGGACGTTTTTCTTCTGTTTCTTTTTTTTAATTTTCGACAGATTGATTCGTACGGATCGCAGCGCATGCGTGACATAAATATAATCATGTCTGAAGCAAAGTACTATTATTTTTTACATTTTCTAATAATCAAGCTGCACACAGCGCATTTTTGGGGATATATTTAATATGTCATGTCCGACGGCAAAAATATACTCACGACGCACGTTACCAACAAAATGTACGGTAAAAGTTGCGCGCACATTTGCGTTAATTAAATTTATTCATCGTTTTGACGAAAAAAATTAATATTCGCAAAATTAACCATCGTTCAACCTCATTAATTTTTTTCAACTTCACCAGATCGCGATGCAAATCGAGATATTTCGCGCGAAGCATATTTCGTTTCACAAGTTTACGAGACGTAGCGTCGTGTTAAATTTGGCAAACCATAGGCGAGCGCAACCCGTTTATGAGACACGACACGACGCGACGCGGAAGATCGAGTGCAATTCGGAATTGCAGAGCGATGAAACATGAAACGGGCCGTGTCACGGCAGACACATAATATTTGAATATCGTACAAATGACTTGCGCATTGCTGGGATAATCGAGACACTCGGGCGAAACCGTTCTGTGTACGCGGTCTATACGCGGATTACTATTCACGGCGGCCAGGGATTTTCGTTCTCTATTTCAACCTGCAATAAACCGAACGAGTTTCCATCGACCAGATTTTTTCGATTGGTAAATGGCGAGAGCGGATCGTGAAGTATTGCCCAAAACATTGGCAATTACAGCCAAGGTTTCCCGAATGCTTTCCATTAATCAAATCTTCACTTAAAGATCACCCGTCGAGGATATATCACAATAGTTGACGCAACGCTGGTTAACCCTTTTCAAGCATACATTTTTCTATCGTACCATTTTTTGTGAAACTTTGTATGCAATGGTTTTTAGGGTCGCTGATTACGAATCCGTTTTCAGATTTTCATAATTCAAAATGGCAGATTCAAGACGGCGGAATTCAAAACTTAAAAAAACAACATCATTCAACTGTAATTCAACTATGCTAAGAAACTTTATTTAGAAATTATTAGGACTTTTTTCATGTTCTTTTATTGCTAAGATACTAAAATAATGCAAAACCCTGACCTAAATGCGCTAACTAGAAATTAAATGGCCAAAAAGTTAAGAAGTTGGGGTGGTAACGTTGATTAGGTGCTCTAAAGGGTTAAACGAGCCATCGATTCGTTGGTTTGCACGTACTTATTTTATAAAAACGTAAGATATATCTGTCTTTCCCTCCCGGCCGCGCGAATAAATATCTAAGGAGAAGTCCTGTTATTTTTCCATCCGCGGGTTTTTGATACATCGGATATTGTTGACGAGTCGCGACGAGAAGCGAGTCAAAGGGAGCCTTCCGGTGTCCCCGGCAGGAGAAAAAGTTTTCTCACGACGCTCTCCTCGTCTCGCTACATCGGTTTCCTCTTCCGCTCCCGACTTCCTTCTCCCCGTGTCCACGCTACTTCGCGGTCCTTTGACATTCAATTCGAACTTTGAAACTTTGGAGCATCTGAAAAAGCGCTAACTTTTTTCCCCTCCCGCATTTTGTATTGTCACGGCCGAGAGGACGAGATGAGGACGGCGAGCCCCACGGGGAAATGCCTATCGCGGACGGAATGATAAAAGATAAAGGTCTGATAAAAGAGATAAAACGTGCCGCGTTACGCCAATGTCATAAAACGTGTAACGCGTCGCGGCTCCTCCGCGGGAAAATACTTGCGGGGCGTGTATAAGCCCGAAAAAAAATTGGCAATAATCCTCTGCGCTTTTCGTGGATGACGAAGATAGTACGATGTATATAAACAATATGTCATTTATGAGTTTTCCGAAATAACATCGCCTTCAACTGGCTACTCGCTCGCGGCGGACGTGTGTTTCGTTACGATTTTTCATATCCCACAAAGAACATTTCGCGAGTGTGTTTCGCGCGGAGCGGGAATGAATCCAGCTAATGCGTTTTTACCGACTATGACGCACTCCAACCTTCTACGTCATACGAGGCTGATGTGCTCTCGCGTTAATTTGCTCCAGATGGGAGGAGGAGATTCCTCTCCAGAGGCGAGAATAAATATGTAACCCGGATATTAAGAATTCCTGGCGAGAGTTATGAAAACAGTTTCGCATTCCCGTCTACGTGGGTGTCGCAAAAATTCTCTCCACTGATTTCTCTCCGAGGAAATATATAGTGACTCGATAAACGTAAAGAAGCAAACGTATTTTACGCACGCCCTTCTCTCCCGTGTTAATTTTCGCTGGGGCCGTCGCGAAATATTGCATATTGTTGAACGAATGGGAGTAATTTTCCTTCTTAAAACATTTCTCTTTGTCGTGCAAATCCTCTTTACGTTCTATCGACTCATACTCGGAGGGAAATATCTTTGCTCTCGTAGAAAAAGTGTACGCTCGCACGGATCTTTGGAGAGAGCGTGGAGTCGACTTGTTCGCTTTCAACCGAGTTTACAGGATAGTTTGCCCCGCTTACCGTGTCTATTTTTTTTCTTCCCAATGGATCCGAACGTTATCGTTTTTCCGCGCGCCTCTCGGAGCGCACTCATCCCCGGGCAAGTTTAATATTACAAAACGGAATTGCAGACGGTGCGTTGCCGGAAGTCGACCGGCCCAAGAGGGCTGTCCCCGATGCGCCGTCGTCTCTATTCCTTCTGCATCCCGGATGATGCACCGGTGCCGGGGATTTGCAGTCGCAGCTGATGCTGCGCCGCCTCTGTTGTTGCCGCGCGCCAGCATATGAGACTCCGTATGACTCGCTGAAAAATGCAAAGTGCAACGCGCGAGTGTCCTCCGAACGCGGCGCGATATCCGTCCGAAGGAAAACAATCCGTTACGATGCGAAATTATGCAGCGGGCATTGTCTCGTGAAAATGCAGATATTAAACTATTGTTTCTCGGAGGCGTCGGCATTTTTCCGAAATGCCTGCAATGATTGGCCGAAACGAGGCGTAATTTTAATAAGCAAAACTGCAAAGAAAGGCCAGGTTGCCCATGCAAACGTTATTGTTTCTTTCACACTGCTACTTTGAATAGTTAACGTTACGTTCTTTTTTCAGTTTAGTTGAAATGTTTCGTTGAGCTTCGCTTTTTATTCGTGAGCGAAGGGGCTCGGGCCTTTCATGGAGCAACGATTTCGCGTGTAATACGCATCCGGAATATTCGTCGTTTCTTCCTTTCCGAAAGCCGTTTTAATGTTATGTTCGTGCAGTCGGCTCGCATTAGTAGGTCGTGGCTTATTACCGTAAATGCCCGTAAATCTGATCGCGTTTGCATGGTGCATCCAGCAACGAGTTAACGTTGTTCCGAGCATCGTTCATAACTCGCTTCCCTTCGCGATGCGGAACGATATAGGTAAAGAGTGGTTTACTGCCTGTGTTAACGTACCGGGAAGCGTCCACTTTTACCGTCGTAATCTTCACGTTATCTCGCTAATTCCCGGCATTTGTATGAGCGCAAGTATGTAAGTAAACGCGGTAAATCACCCTATTTGCAAGCATTATACCGCCCATCTCTTCATTTAATTTTAAGGGGCTACATCCTGGAGTTGTTTCGAATAACTTGTATATTTAAGCGAAAAGATTAATTGCTATTAACTTTGATACTCGGTTCCGTTAACGAGACCGCGATACGCCTCGTTCACTTTAACGTTTCCCCGCGATAAATTCGAGCGTCGACGCGAATTAAAGTATACGCGACGTGATTAATTTACTCGCGCGACACACTGGCTTTAAAAGCGTTTGATACAAGGAGCACGTTCGAACGTCATCAAATATCGGATTTCTCCCGTGTATCGGTGTTATTGACTTTGTAGATAAAATTTCACATGGCGTAGCCGTCGGCGAACGGTTCACTCAAAAGTACGCGCCCATTCCGCGCGCTCGATGATCATCGGTTTAAATATAATTAAAATTTTTGTTCCAGATCGAATAGCTGCGTGTGGAGTAGATAGCTTCGAGGACTTTGAAATAGACATGTGCGTCGAGGATCAACCGGACGTTGTTCGCCAATGACGCAGGGTGAGTGAATCAGTGGTCGCATTGGATCTCTACCGGGGGTTCAGGCGTTTTTTACATGGAACAATTGTCGCGCGAGCGGCTATTGATTGATATAATATTTAATACTCGCTAGCTCTCTAACAATGTTGTAACAGTAATTTTGTGTTTTGTTAAATCTCCGTCAAGTTCGTTCCTTACATTGGCGCTAAATAAATTTTAACAAACAACACACAATAGTCGGCCAATGGGAGTCTAAGGCAAGGTGTAGGTAGCCTAAGCTTAAAATTTATTAAAATGTGAATTCATATACCGTTTCTTCCAAATTTTAACAAGTTGCTAATTAGGCGTTCAAGCCCGGAATTAGATGTTCAAAGCGTTTGACAAGAAATTAGGTACATATTGTGAGAGGGGGGGATTGACTTAACAACCGTTAAATTAGGCTTAGACTTAGCTCGGTGGTTTAATATCTTACTGTTACATTAATAGACGAGTACTTTCATGTTGAAAACAAAGCAGATTTTGCTATGACTTGTCTCTACAAATCGAACTGGGAAATGATTGATTTTCACGATGGAACAATATTTGCAAAAAATGGTAATATATTTTTACATTTATCTTACAGTTTCTCAGGGCATATAATTAGCTCTCAATTCCGACAGGTCTTTGAAATTTACACATCCGATATTTATTTGTTTACATTAGGGGGGGCGAGCCAACTCTTCCTCTATTATGTATCCAATATTCTGCCGCCTAATTAGCCTAATATATTAGAATTTATTTAGCGCCGGTAGGGAGCTTGCTTAATAAGGGTTTCATTAATTGTTTGGCGGGTTACACGTAAAAGAACACGGCCAAAACTTCGTTGTCGGCGACGCGAGGCGGTCGTAGCTTGCGCAGTATGTACACACGTATTGTATATATTTCCCGAAGAATATGTGCGAGAGACGCGTATTTCTTCGAGTCCCAGGGCGGCTTTCTGCCTTTCTCGATACAGTCGGTCGTGCAAGTTTCCGGGGAAAATGGAGGAAAAGGTAGTTACGAAAAGGCGCAAAGGCAAAAGGGAACGCACGGCGCACTCTCAGCCTGGGCTTTAATCGCGCATTTACCGCACGCGATCTGTTTGCGCGGCCATAAATGGTCACGCGCTGGCGTGTGTCGGCGGATATGGTTTCTTAATAGTTTCTCAAACCATCGCAGGTGAAAGGTACCTCTTCCAGGAGGGACGACTCTCCCGTCCCGATCTCGAGCTCCCCATTTCATTAGGCCTGATTAAAAGCCGATAAATAATCCGCCCGGCAACCCACGCGCATACTTTCAATTTGTTTCGCTCTCCGCCGTCCGTGCCGCGCAGGAAATGTGAAAAATAACCCCATTAGGGCCCGCTTCTTCCGCGAAACGTCGCGAGATTCCGGATCCTTTGTGCCGCGGTTAAACGGAATAACGGGTTGAACCGTCTCGTTAAGCGGCATTCCCGGCGACTCTTGAAGGCCCTTGTTGAAAAAGAGACCACGACGGCGGCGCCCTTGGAACTTCCAAAGATTCCTACGAGCGCAAATTCCGAGGGAGCCTCGTAAGAATTTAAGCAAACAGCGCGCAAGACTTATAAATTATATTTCGAGGAAACAATAGTCCCGCGGGAACCGCGACGTCTTTTAATATTCTTTTCTGCGAGTGCCGGGATTGTAATATGCGTGCACTGAGAGACCCATTTTGTCGAATGAAACGAAATAATTTGATTGAATCATTTTGTTGACTGGACATGCAATTTGGTTGTATAAAACGAAATATATGTTGCTGAAAATAAGTTGAATGTTATCAACAACTATTTTGTTTTCATGAGTTGTTTATTTGAACAAAATGTTATGGTTGAGATAACAAATTCGTCCGTATTTGTTGCGTCACCTAAATCGTTTAGTTGAATATTGTAAAAGGATTCTGCGCATGTTCACTCAACCAAATTTATGTGTTGATATAACCAAATTTTCCGACTAAATTTTGTTGTATCAACTGAAAGATTTGTTTGCTCATATCCAAACAAGAAATTCAGTTGAATCAACTAAATTTTGTTTCATTCAACAAAATGGGTCTCTCAGTGTATATATAATCGTCCGCGTCTTTCAGATTCTCCATAACTCAATATATCTCTAATGTGCTCGTTTATAACGCAGCGCGGATCAATATTATATGTTTATCGGTCTCGCGCGCTATTTTCCGCGCTGCGGGTGCTGTGCGGATAACTAATTGGCCGAAATAACAGTTGCGAGCTGCGTTATATCTCGGCGGAGGGCCATTCGGGACTCGCCTTGGCGCGCTTCCACCGTGGAAATCGATTCGCAAAGTGATTTATCGATTGAATTCTAATTTCCGGGCCTGCATAACTTTTATCTGCGCCGCAGCGTAACGAATCGGACGACGCGGAAGGCGCGTCGCGAATATTATCGCGCGCGCGCGCGCGCGGCCGTGGCGTTTTTTACGACGCTACGCGCCGATCCATCCGCGAGATTTTCGCGGATAAAAAATGGCCTCTGCGTTGTTACGCGCGGCAGCTTTCGCCGATTTGTTGCGAAGAGCGGCCGTGACGCTAAATATTTGTTAAAACGGCGAACAAAATTGTCGCGTAAATCCGAAATTTTTTACGGACGGTGCGCGGAATCGCACGCGACAAACTATTCTGCGCGGGATAGTTTTCTGGAAATTCCGCGTCGGGACAGCTTTACAAGTCGACAAAGGCACGCGGTATAGTCGCGATTTTTTCCGCCACATTTTTCGTATGCCTTCCGCGCGGGCGCGCTCGCGATCCTTTTTTTTTTATTCCATTTCCGATATCGCTCGAACAAAAGCGATATTTTTCTCTATTTCCCCGCAACGTCATGGCGAAACACAAAGAGTGGCAGTTCTGGAATTCGTTTTCAATTTGCGGACGTCAACGGTCAAATTGGACGTAAAACTTCGCAATTGATTCGTTCTTTGTCTACGGTGAATCTGATTTTATCGGAAACACGGTTCACTTGCAATATTCGTTCCCTTCTGCTAAATTTCATACATAATTTTATACACCGAGATAAAACCGGAAGCCACGATTCCCGTATAATCTAGCATCGCCGCGTTTTCATAAATTCTACCCAAAGTCAGAGTTGCCAAAATTTTATCCATAAAAACACCAATTGCTATTCTATAACAATTCACGACGGTGTTGGTATTATTCGAAATACCTTCCGTCTCTGTCATTTACGCACGTACCACGGCAGGTATGTACGTACGTCTCTGCGGTGGTCGCGAAAGACGACCACCTGGGACGTTCACCAACAGGAGAGACAAGCCCAACAAACCAAAGGGGTAACCACTTGATGTAATCGTGGGACTGCGTCTTCGAAATCATTATCAAATCCTTACGAACTCCCCGTGTAATCCGTGTTGTCTTCATTTTCAAGTTTCTTCACTTGTCAGACAATAAACATTAAATTTGAACATTTTCTCAGCTTGTTTCTACTTTCCAAAAAATTTACTTCATTTAGTGAATATCCAAATATACATCATAGTTGACGCCTATAATCGCGTATTATTTTTTTCATAATAAGACTGAAGTAGTTGCTGTTGGGACAGTGAATTGATACACCTTTGCGCGCAAATTTAGAACAATAAACAGTAGATACAAATGCAAAATTACTTCTCATTAAGACCACGGTTAGACCGGTGGGAAAAGTGGGAAGCAAGGAAACACGTGACCGAATACTAGAATCTTAACTGAAATTACCTCTACAAGCAAATACTTATTAGTAAAATCAAAAAGATATAATGTTTTGAGGAAATCTAACAGCTCTTAACAGCGTCGTCTATTTTTAAACGTGCAAATAAGAAAATTATTTGCAATTAGGTGAGATTATTTGTAATCGGATGAAATCAAATAAAATGGTGTAATCGGTGGTATAACATTTTAGCTAGTGGTTACCCCCTTGCAACAAACCCGCCGGTCCCCGTCTCGCCGTCAACACAGCGCGCTCACGCACGCACACGCACGGACCGCCCGTCCGCTACCGCTAAATTATAGACCGGCGTGCGTAGATTTTCTTCCATGCATATTGCATATGGATAACGAGGGACATCGCCGTCGCCGTCGCCCTCGTCAAGAGTCGTCTCGCGGAAGCGGTTACCGCGACGCGTAATATGTCACGACTCGCACGAGTTGTCGCACGTGTGCACGGAACTGTGCTACTCTCGCTGTCTCTCTTTCTCTCCACCCTCGACACCGGACTGTTTCGAGTATTCAGATAATCGCGTTCGAGGGAGAGAGAAAGAGAGAGAGAGAGAGAGAGAGAGGGGGGAGGGGGCGAGACTCAAAGATTTTCCCTCGAGCCGCACCTAGGGCTTCTCTTCGAGTCAGGTCGTCATCTCCGGGAAAATTCTCCGCTTCTGTTCTTTCCGTCCAGCGGGGTGGGTCGTTTTTGCTAAGCAACCTCGGTCCTCCTTGCGGAAACGCGAGACCAATTTCTAAGCGCAGGTTGCATTTAGAGTACCTCGGAACGAAATGCAGCAAACGAAATGGGGCCCGAGTGAATTCGAGCGCTCTCCGTGTTAGACGGAGATTAGAATGCGATTTAATCTCGTCGCAGCTTGGACTGTCCATTACAAAGTGAGCTTTCAGATCCATTTCGTTCTTTCTTTCTTTTTGCGACAACTTTCCCGGAGTATTGGGGAGTAAATAAAAAAATTGATCTTCTTGTCTACCGATTTTGCACGAGATTACTTTGTCGCCTCTTGGTATCTTTATTTACCGACTCCCATGGCTCGGAGTGTCGGCACACCTAGTGATAGGGAAAGATAAAAAGAAACTAGGTTTAATTAGCGAGTAATAGATATGAACCATCGTTTTGTGTGAATCAGTCGACACTTTTGCAAGAGAAAGCACGAGCAAAATTGGCGCTAAACATAATCCATCACGATTTTGCCCGTTGATAAAGTAACCGGTTGCGAGGAGGAAAATTAATCATACAGAGAGAAAGTGGTCCAAGTCAGGCGTTTCC